TCATCTAGACCAGGCTGGCCTTAGCTTCTAGCGCACAGAGATCTACCTGCCTCTGCCTCACCATGTCTGGCTATCTTTTTTTTTTTTTTCCTGAATCCTATAAACACTATAAGAAATGGTTTGGCATGATGGTACACACTGGCAATTCTGGCCCTAAGGAGCTTGAAGTAAGTTTGTGAGTTTGAGTCTAGCCAGAATTATGCTGTGAGTTTAAGACAACCTTGGGCTGTAGAGTGAATCTTTCTTTCGAAACAAACAGGACATCAACAACAAAAACCCAGCATAATATTTGAGATAATAATTATTATTTCAGTACTAAATCCAGTACTTTGGGCAGAAAAACAATAGCACAAACAGAGGCAAATTTCAAAACTTTCTTCCTACAAACTGTTAGAGGCTGGTGCCTTGCTGACTTCACTGACCTCAGAAACTTCCTTTTTTTTTCCCATCAATATTCTTGATATGAGTTGAATCATTAGTCTAACTTTTTCAGCTAAAGTAAAAGGGGTTTCTTTTCTGGGGTTTAATGTTTAATTCTTTTGAAGTAAGATTCGTGCTCCTGTTCTATCACAAAGGGTATTTTTTTAAAAATTAGCAAACCTTGACTTGTAAAATGGGTTTCTTGAAACTAGCTGATCATAGTGTCATGAGATTTTTATCCATAAGATTGCCTGTAATTCTAAAATGAGTTTATAAAAATCTGCTAACTGCAAACTTTTGCTTTTGTACTTGGTTGACCTATAAGAAGACTCTGTTACTTTAACTCAGGGTTGTTTTTCTCCTACTCCTGTAGGAAAGTACATTTGGCCTGATTACAATCATAAATAAATTTTTACTTTGCTGCACCTCTGTCTCTGAGACTGATTGGGTCCTGTCTTGAGACTGCAACAAAACCTATGTTTTAGTGATAAACAGCATTCCTCCAAAAGAAGAAACTATGCACCTCAACTACCCAACAAATTAGACATATCACCTACAAAATATCATTGTTTTTTGAATTGTGGATGCAATTAATAAGGCTTGAAGAACTTGTAGAACTTGACTAAATTGTTTTGTGGATATGAGATCGACTTTGTAGCAAAAGTAACTGAACTTTACTATTTCCTACAACTGTAAGAATTACACGTCCTTCTTTTCAGTACTTTCACGAATATGCAGGATATAACAGATAAGGGAATGTTTGGGGAACACTCATGACCCATCATGGTTATTTTCATTACTGTGACTATTGCAAATTCCTGCTGCATCAGTTTATGCCCTCTGTTAACAAACCCCTTACTACTCTCTTCATCCAGCACTTCCTGCCCACGACTCCCTTAATTACTGTCATCCTGGTCAGTTGTCACATGAACTTGTAGAGTTAGCCCCTTCCCAACAGCACAATAACCTCTTTTACACATTCATTAAAAAAAAAAATCATGCTGTTTTTCATCTCTTTATGAGGTTGAGAAGGATAACTAACTTTTTTTCTCTCCATCAAATTTCTAACAAAGTGATAAAAAAACAATAATCATTTAATTAAACATAATTCATTTTTTTCAAACTTAGTTTATTCAGATAATTGCACTGAGCCATGGAGGTGAAGTAAGACTCTTCCTCCAGGAAGGAAAGTGCCACTATAAAGCCTGGCTGTTGGTCCCCTAGCATCCTCCCTCAAATATCTCACTTGCCATCTTTTATCTTTACTGTTTTAGTTCATAAATATGATGTGACAAATCTCAAGAGCTGAACCATAACTGGTCTCAATTCAGAGTTGAAACATAGGGGTCAGATTTTTCTGTGTTCACTTTTAACAACTTGGAAAGAGACATTAAAGAAAATCAATTTATAAATGTGGCTCAAATTATCCTGAGAGAGCAGTTATACATACACAATGAGATTTACTGACACACAATATACAACTGTGAATGTGTTGAGTGAGTCAATTAGAGCAAGTACTTCAAATAGCATCTCAGATTAATAAGATATGTAATATACCTCCTCATGGCCTGGTGTCAGAAGGAGATCCTCTCTTACAGACTGAAGAGTTTTCTTTCTCCTTGGGGAATGTCTTTTGGTTGGGGTTGTGTCATATCTGGGACAGTAGCTGGAGGGAGCATTGTACCATATCAGGAGAGATGGCTGGAAGGTGGCAATTGTGGAAGTGTCTGGTCTCCAGAAAGTTGGCCAGAGGGTGCCAATCACATGAGAAGCTGGTCTCTGGCCACTTTTCTTTAATGCTTTATTTCTCTTTAATGGCTTACTATGTAAAATCAAAGACTGTATTCTTTCTTTTTCCAGAATAATTTGAATTCTAAAATATTTTCTATTTGAAATTATGTGTGTGTGTGTGGGTATGTGGGTGTGTACACTTAATATGTTTAATATGTGTGTGGGGGGGTGATAGTGGTTGTTTGAATGAGAATGTCCCCCATAGGTTCCAATAATTTGGACATTTTGTTTCCAGTTAGTGCCACTGTCAGTACCAAAAGTCAGACATGGACTCAAGTGTTGGCTCAGTGGTTAAGAGGACTGAATGCTCTTGCAGAGGACCCTGGTTCAATTCCCAGCAAAACCCACGTGGTAGCTAACAATCATCTCTAACTTAAGTTCCATGGGATCCAAAGCCCTCTTCTGGCTTCACTGGGAACTTCACAACACAGGTACATTTCCCCACTTTCCTGGAGTTTTTTCTGATTGAGTTTGCATGGGCTTTGTGCATGCTGACACCACTGCTGTAAGTTCTTATGAACAAGTAGTTTTGATTTGGTCAAAGAGGTTGAACACTTTTTTTTTTCAAAGTTGATCATTTGTATTTCTACTTTTGAGAACTTTATAGTCATTGGCTTGTTTATTGATTGGATAATTTGGTTTTTGGCATTGAACTTTTTCCTGTCTTCATATAACCTGGATATAAATGCCTTGTCATATGTGTAGTTAATAATGACACTATTCGATTCTGTAAGTTGTCTCTTCACTCTCCTAATTCTTTTGTTATATAGAATCTTCCTATTTCATGTAATTCTATTTGTCAATTCTCAAGATTCTTTCCTTTCTTATTATAGTCCTGCTCATGAACTCCTTGTCTATGCCTGTAGTTTTATGTGTTTTACCCATAATTTTCCATGAGTAGCTAAACATCTCAGGCCTTACATTATAGTTTTGCCCCAATTTATGTGATTTGTGAGCATGGTGACAGATACGGATCTAATTTCATTCTTTCACTGGGGAAATTTAATTTTCCCAGCACAATTTGCTTAAGAGGCTGTCTTTTGCCAATGTGTGTTTTTTTGACCCTTTTGCCAAGAATTATGTAGCTATATCTTGGTGATAATTTTTAGGTTTATTCCTTTGGTATTTTATCCTTTATTAAATTATTGTGAACAGAATTTCTACCTGATTTCTGTCTCAGTGAATTCATTATTATTATATAGAAAAGTTAGATTTTTTCCCTCTCTTTGAATTCTGCTAATTTGCTGAAGGTGTTTATCAGGTTTATAAATTTTATAATATAGTCATGAGTGTTTTTAAGTATATGGTCAAGTCATCCATAAATAGACATAATCTTACTTCTTCCTTCCCTGTTTGTATCCCTTTTATTTCTCCCATGTTTATTACTCTAGATGAGACTTTGGGGCACTGTGCTGAAGGAGGGGAGAAAGCATGTACCCTTGCTTCAATCCAGATTTTGAAAGAAATGTTCTCAGTTTTTTAACATTTAACACACTTTCAACTAGTTGTTTGACAAATATAGCCTTTATTATGTCATGGTATATTCATTCTATTCTTGGTTTCTTCAAGACTTTTAGCATGAAGGTATGTTGAATTTTGTATAAAACTTTTTGTGCAATGTCTGTGCAGATCATGCGATTTCTCTCATAAGTATATGTATCAAAATAAAGTTAATTGATGTGTACATATTGAACAAAAATTGCATTTCTCGAGTGAAACCAGGTTGGTCATAATGTACAATATTCTTAGTGCATTCTTGAAATAAATTTCAAAGAATTTTATTGAGAATAAATTTTGCATCTAATTGTGACTAGGAAAAATGGTTTATAATTTTGTTTCTAAAGCACTAGTCAAGATTTCAGTCCGATGTTCATTACAAAGTTTTACATAGCTCACAATATCACATTATCAAGGTCATTTTTTCATTATTTGAACTAAGGCAGGATGAAAAACAGATTCAATGGATCTGGATTGTCCATTCTAAAATATTGTTATTGGGAGGCAGAGAGCATTTTGTATTATTGTATTTCAAAGGCCAAATGAAAGCTATGTGGAAAGATTTTTGATGCTCAGCTTACAAAAATATCAAGGTCCACCTATCCAGTATCAGATCTCTAAGGACAACTGACTTCCCTCTCCAAGAAGCTATCAGTTGTCAATAACTCCTCACCTAAGGGTTGGGACTTCTTGTCCATCTCACCCCCTTCATGCTACTACTGTTAGTCTGCTAGTAGCATTAAATGAGCTAATACCTTATGTTATACACATATGTTAATGCATCTCTCCACTCTCACCAGAGATGCTTCTTCTTGCAGTAGATCACGGTAAATACAGACACCCACAATCAGTAATGCGCCCTAAATTGGACACCTATAACATACCCTCACCTCCCAAGACTCAAAGATCACTGGAGAAGATGGGGTAGAAATATTTAAGAACTAGATGTGATGGATGGCTACAAGAAAACACTGTTTCCCAGAGAGCAGGGCAGTTGCACATATGATATTAAAATTGCCACGGAACCCACAAGAACTACCCACGCTTAAGACAGGCAAAACTTTAAAAAATTAAAAAAAAACAATTTTTTTCTTTAAGCATTCCTAATAGCTAGTGCTGAGATAGATGTAGAAGAAAATATATTGGTGTGGAGTTCTAGGGACAGACTTTTTAATGTAGGAAACTGGTACCTCGATCTGTTTTAGAAGTTCCAAAGATACCCCTGGGAACTATATCTACTGTGGAATATTATTACTTCCTTGGCTGGTAAATCAGTTACCACCCAGTATCAACTACTTCATCCACACTTTCCTCAGGGCATTTTTCACCTCTGCATTCCTCAAGGTATAGATCAGAGGATTTAACATTGGTTCAACAACCATAGCAGATACAGCCATGGCCTTGTCTATGGGGTAAGTGACCACAGGCCTCATGTACAAGAAAATACACGGCACAAAGAACAACACAACCACTGTGAAGTGTGAGCTGCATGTGGAAAGGGCTTTGCGCCTCCCTTCAGCACTGCAAGACTTCAAGGAGAAGAGGATGACTACATAGGAAGCCATGAGAATCAGGAAAATAGTCACACACATCACCCCACTGTTGAGAATGACCAAGAAACCCAGAATACGTGTGTCCATGCAGGCCAATTTCAACAATGGAAACAAGTCACACATAAAGTGGTCAATGATGTTAGGTCCACAGAAGTGTAATTGATACATAAAGAGAAGCTGAATAGTTGCATGCGTGGATCCCCCCATGCAAGTTCCTCCCAGTAACACCCGACACATCCGAGGACTCATGATGATCATGTAGTGCAAGGGCTTACAGATGGCCACATATCGATCATAGGCCATCACAATGAGAAGGATGATCCCCATGCCACCCAGAAAATGGCCAACAAATAGCTGGGACATGCAGCCTTCTAGGGAGATGGCAGTGTTCTCAGAGAGAGAGTCCACAATCAACTTGGGTACAGTGATAGAAGAGTAGGAGATATCTATGAGCGACAGAGTCTTAAGGAAGAAGTACATGGGCGACCTCAGACTCTGGCTCCTGGCTATAGTTGCTACAATGAGAAGGTTTCCCAATATAGTTGCCACATAGAATACTAGAAACAGAACAGATAATATTTTCCTCAGCTCTGGATTCTTTGTGATTCCCAAAAGAATGAATTCAGTCACATTGTTTGGATTCCCCATTAATACGAACTGGTGATAGCATGGAGCTCTGCACTGGGGAAGCTGCAAAAGGACATTACATTATTGTTAATTAGTAACCACTGGATGTGCTGGACATTTTCCTAACTCTGTCTAATATCTTTTAATCTAGTGGTTTTTTATTTTGTATTTGTGTGTGTCTAGTGTTATAGAAGAAAGCCTCTCAAAAAATGTCTGACATCAGTTTCAAACCTACTGACCACAGAAAAATCTTACCTTTCATTCTTGCTGTTTGTCCTGGTTCCACCTGCTTGGATATTTTGGAAACTGTTTCATCATTTTATTTCATGTATATTCTTAGGAATATAATATAATTACCAAACTTTGGAACCGTGACCAATATTGGGTGAGAGCTAAAAGGTAAATGATAACCAGATTATCACAATCATTTATCTTTCCTTATATCATTCTCTTCAGTGCCTTTAACATTTTTTTCCACAAATAACAAACAAAAATCAAAGGAAACAAGAAAAAACAATACAAATATTAAAGTCCACATATATAATATATTCTCTTACTGTCTGCTTTTGGTACTTTGAAGCCATTTAGATCCTAAATTTCATTTATTATTATATGCATCCAAACACTTGGAAAATATTATACAAATTTCCTTGAACTTATAGAGTTTGCTAGTCGAAGAATCATGAGGCCGGTCATATTCCAAGGATTTGCCGTTTATCAATGAATATATGTTTTCCATGCAAAAATCACATTGTCTAATAGAATGAAATAGGAAAACATATTGATGATAGTTCATTAACTACATCTGTGTCTCACACAGTGCAACAACCTGCAATATATATTTTTCATTTTGAGATTAGAAAGTGAAGTTTAAGAGGTAAGGAAAGAATTTCACAGTATTCATTTTACATGGCTAGCAAGCCATATGTACAACTTGACTGCCATCATCTCTGCACATACATGTAAATCACTGAGATGGTATAAATATTGTATTCAAGGACATTTTAGGTCCACTGTTACCCCTCCCCAATTCATCTACCTGCTTCGATTTTTCTTTGTGAACTGATGTTCCCAAATGAAATAAAGGAGCCCAACAAAACAATAAATATATCATTGAAATAATCTTCATTTTACATTTATACATTCTATCAAGGTAGAAGATAGGGTACATTCATTATCACATTTATTTTGCATATCACATGAGTCAATTAAACAGGGTTAAATATGATATTTCATTGTTTAAAAGTCTCAAGAATAAAGCATATTAATAAAATAAATTGCTACTGGAGCCAAATGTTAGGATAAAGGAACTGTCACAATAAGTAGTGAACTTTCTCTTTGCTAGGGACATAAGTATACATTGCTTGTCATTGACTCTAATTTATTACAGACCTGTGCTTCAATATTCTATGCTTTCCTAAACAAAATGAACAGTTGCCTGAATATTCTTTGTAAATCTACAATATATACTAATCTGATAGCTCTCTGTCTCCAGATCCCAAACTTAAAAAATTTGAGCATCTCTTTTGAAATAGAGAAACCTCATTCTTGGAGATCAGAATAATTATTTTCATTCTTTAACTCTCCTACTCCTATGGTACATTACTATATTTCTCTCTGTCTCTCTCTCTCTGTGTGTCTCTCTCTCTGTGTCTCTCTCTCTGCCTCTCTCTCAATTGTTGTCATAAGCCTGTGGCAGGCTAGGGCTCAAGGCGGCCAGCTCCAAAATTCCTTGTTTAAAAACACAATATCTTGGGACCATTGCAGAAGAGGGGCCAGAAAGTTTGCAAGAGCTGGGTTTGATGCATGACCATGAGGAAAGAGGCCTTCAGGCCTCTGGGAATTTGCTTGGAAACTTTCAACAGTGGTGACAGCAAGCACAGGACTCATGCTGACTCAATCAGACAAAAACCCAGCATAGAACTGGGAAAATTGTCAGCAAGCTCCAAACCTAGCCAGGAACTATTGGCAAATGATTACTGTGGGGGGAGTCACTTTAAGGAAGTGACTCATGACAGACTAACTAGACTCCAATAGATGGACTTGCACAGAGGGACATCTGGGTACAAATACTGAACCAGATAGGACAACATATATGACAGACTACCTGAAATCTGGTTTGGGTGCTATGGGGGGGAAGAAAGGAGAGAGGGGGGTCTAAATTTGATTAATATGTATTATTTGAAATGCACAAAAACTCAATAAAAATATTGGAGAAAAACAATTAAAAATATTTTCTTTAAGTAATATTTCATGTAAACAATCTCAAGATTGAAATAGTTTAAAAATATGCACTAGGTAATAATGGTAAATAATATCCTATTCTTAACATCTGTGAATCCATCACTATTCTTTCTAAATTACTAATATTATACATACCTTCCACTTAATCTGACATTGAAAATCTCCCCCATAATAATCAATCTCCACCCTCTTCTTGTATTTCTCTCTGAGGTCAGTGTATCTCATCTCTTGTGTTATAGAATCACACAGCTAAGCACTTTGTGTAGTGGAGAAGTCTTTGGTCAGAGTGTATCAGACTTTTTCTCTGTCCCAGCCAGGCCACTTTCTGCCACCAGACATTAAATTCCACAAAACAAAGCTACAGAATATTAACCAAAGTCAATGTGTGTCAGTGGCTGACTAACAATATGGTATTAAATTCACATTTTCTCTTCTAATTTCTAGAAAAACTGTGAGATAGCTAGGCATGATGGTATGTACCTGTAATGCAAACTTTGTTGCGTCTAAGGCAGGAAGGTTGCAAGATTTAGGTCAGTTTGGTTTTTCAATTAGCATCAAGACTGATTGGGGCATATAGTAAGTCCTTATCTTAAAACAAATAAACAAACAAAAGAATCAAGAAAGAAAAGATCAGAACTTTGAGGGCTATCTATTATTTCAGAATTTCAGACGCAAGAAATAAACTTGGAGAGCCATTGAGATTCACCCTATCTTTCTGGAGCATATGTCATCAAGTTCATAGCAGTTCCATGACTTTTACAGTCTTCAATTTGCCTAACATGACACATGATATCTTGTACATGGTTGTGAATATAAAGGCGATAATATGCAAGAGAATTGTTTGTAGCTTATCACTCAATTACTCGGCATGATCAATTTTCATTATTGCCAGCTTTTCAATTTCCTGTTGCCTCTGCCTCAGCTCTCTGTTAAGAAATCCATTGCTCCTTCATCTTTCCCTACTTCCTTCATGACTGTCATCCTGGACATTTGACACAATCACCTGTATAGAGTATATATTAAATTTTTTCATTTATATTCTCTATTTAATTCATGCTTCCTTATCTATTCATGAGAATACTAGGAATTTTTAATTTGTTACAGTTCCATCAAATTTTGAATACTGTTTTTATATACACTAATTAATTAACTTCATTCTATAAAACTCAATTCATTCAAAGAAAAATGGCATTGAATCATCAGCCCCTGAAAGACTAGTGCCACCCCTTTCTTAACAAATCAAAGCACCATCATAGAGCCTGGCTGTTGGTCCCCTGGCATCCTGGCTCAAAAATCCCACTTACCATCTTTCATCATTGTTCATACACATGGCATGGTCAAACTCAAGGTCTGAAACATACCTTAGTCTCTCATTTCGCTGTTGAACTGCTTTCAGCACATCCTCCAGCACATCCTCCATATATGAAATTTTAGAAACTTGCCAAGAAACATTAAAAAACATATAACTACAGATTTTCTATAATTCGGGGATGGTCATCATAAGATGTTAACTGTACACTTCAATAAAAGAAACAGCCTGAAATACTGAAACATTGAAAATACAAATACATAGAGGGTACTAGGAATGCTAGTATTGACTCTGTTTTGGAGGATTAATTATTGCAATCATTTCAAATAGTATGTATTTTTAAGAGTAACATGCTTATTCCCAAATAATTTAGAGCCAATTCAGTTTCATCTGCATGTCCCTCTGTGATCTTAAAAAGCCTGATGATTCCAGTAGGTAAAAAGCAGACTGTGCAGGCAACTTGCTTAAGTTAAGGTGACCTAAGATCCAGAAGGAAAATGCTCATGTGTCTTCTGGAAAAGAATAAAAACTGGGACTAGATAAGCCAGTCATCCAAGAGAAAGTTATATTGGTGGGAACAGTTTCTAACTAAATAAAAAAAGAGTAAAGACAGATGATCCATGTATGTCCAAGGACTTTAGTAGGAAAAAGCCTCTTGGCACAATAAAGAGTTAATTGCCCTCTACATAGGAACAGTTCTCCAAAACGGAGCCAGTAGATCTTTGCAACATAATTCATGGCATAGTGCCTACCTTTTGGCTATATTTTGATCACTGTTCATAAGGAGCTTCATATTTACAAACCCCATTTACATATTGTCCCTTGGGTAAATGAGGCTACAGTGTCATTTGCAAATGGCTCAGGTTTTCAAGGCATGTGTGCTTGCATCACTCCAGTTGCATCCCTTTGTGGGCACATTTCTACTGACTGAGGATCTAATCACTTTACCAGTAAATTTCCACCCACTCCTGTGACGATCATTATTTCTCATGAACAGGGCTATACTGGGTAAGGCCAAGATGATGCTTTAAAAGGAAAAAAAGAGAAACAACAAACAAACAATAAAGCAAAGCACAAATATTGGTAACCTCATCAAACTCCAAAACTAAACTACCTAAAAATACACACTTAAAAAGGGAATAGTAATTATCTTTGCCAGCTAGCCAGTTCCCAGAGCTGAGATTATCTTTCATCTCCTCTGTCGGTCCCTTAATTTTTTTAAAGGCTATCATTGAAATCGTGTAATAGCTAATTATGGAAAACCTGCTGCTATTAAGACTGTTTCCACATGTTTCTTGGCTAGCAAACAATTAGATCTAAGTTATTTCTCTATATATAGTATTTGATACTCTGAAACCTTGTCAAATTAGAAATTTTGGAGTAATAACTTTGCTTCTCTCATACAGTTCCAACAGTAAAAAGAGTACCCTATATTTAGAACAGGCCTCACGTATTATAACCGAGTCGT